GGCCCCTCTGGTCATCACCAGTAGGCGGTAGGTGAAGTGTCTTGCCCAAGGACACAACGACCGAGACTGTCCGAGCCGGGGCTCGAACCAGCAACCTTCCGGTTACAAGACGAACTGCCAACTCTTTGAGCCACGACCGCCCTGCACCCCTGTCTATATTATCGATATTACCATCTTTGCTGCCAGGATTTATGAAACTGTCACTAAGTTCAAAAAAGTTAATTTTTCAAAGAGCTTCCTAAAATACAGCACAACCAAAATCATAGTAAGTAAGTAAGTAAGTAAAATTTTATTTATATAGCACATTTCTAGATAAAAGATCACAAAGTGCTTCACAAGGCATAAAACAAAAACAGTCAAAAGTTAACAAAATGCAATTTTAAAAAGATGTGTTTTTAGCTGTTTTTTAAAAAACTGAGTCTGCAGATCTTAAGTTCTGAGGAAGAGAATTCCACAGTCTGGTGGCCACAGTAGCAAAAGCTCTATCACCCTTGGTTTTCAGTCTTGTATACTGAATAACAAGTAGGGCCTGATCACAAGACCTCAGGGACCTACTGAGGTCCCTGAGGTCAAACTAGCAGACAAACTAGTCGCAAATACAGTGCTGCAAATGCCTTCGCCTTTTCTTTTTTGTTGTTTTTTTTTGACTCGACCTACCTGCAGATGGTTGTTCTTGCCTGAAGCTCCTGCTACGTCCCATTGGCTACAAGACTTCTTGGGAATCCTGTGGTTTGTGCGACTGCTGATGCCGCCGCCCACCTCATCATACGGATTCTCCATCAGGTTTTCAGGCAGGTTGTTTGAGCTCTGGCTCCGGGTGATTGTGGGAACCACCCTGGAATTTGTAGGTGCTGTTTTTGCTGTGGAAGTAGCTTGAGACCCAGGGACCATAAGGTGGCCTGATGAGGAGGTGGGTGAGTTGGACGCAAAGGTGAATCCAGAAAGGGGCAAAGTTGGGAAGTGACCTCTATCCAAGCTGGTGTTGTTTTTCAGACCTTGGAAGGCACTGTTGGAGTTGAGGTTTTCCATGGAGTGATAGAGGAGTTTGTTCACTGCAGGAGAAGATGAAAAAACTAATACTTCCAGATTTGTTCTAAACTTATTTGTCTGTAATTGCAAAAGCAACACAGCCAGTTTTGTAACTAAAAAGCCTCAACCACAGGTAATTTTAGTAACTGCCTCTGACATACTTAAACTTGCACTTTACCTTGACGCTGTTCATTACTCGTAGCTCCGGTTGCGCTGGGAGAAAGTGACACTCGTGGCAGTATCCTAAAGTTGGTGTTCAGAGAGGCAGTTGCAGTCAGCCGCTGAGGGGAGGGCATGGGCACGATAGGTACCTCCGTCACATACGTGGCAGGGACATACAGCGGCTTTGCTTTACTGGCTGCCCCGATCCTCCGCACCTGCCAGAGAACAAACAGAACAGGTTTCTCTCTTTTCTGCTACATAAATGCTTTTAGTCCAACCGAGCGGCAACAAACAGCTGAAGGCTGAAGGAGATGCGGAAATGTTTAATGATACAGCTCATTTTGACATCAAGCACATGCAACGAGTATACCCGCAACTTCCTTTTTAAAAAAATAGCATCCTTTTTCTCAGCCCACATCATTTAATGAGCTCAGTGGCTAAAGTGAACATTAACTGAGTAGTTTTTCCAGTGTAACAGTTACATCTGAATAACTAGTGTGCAGTATTTTTTCCTTTGATGTGACCGGATGTGCGTTACAGTTGTGAGTACTCTTGCCTCATAGAGAGGAGGATCTCGGTTTGAATCATGTGGCCGGCTGGGGCTTTTCTGTGTTGAGTGTGCGTTTTCGTCCGTGCTTTGAAGTCATCGTGGTGTCAGTTAAACACACGTGTACATCGTTCACTCATCGTCGGCTCACTGTTGTGTTCCAGTCTACTGCTGTATTTTATGCAACAGGTGACCATTTAAATATTTAGAGCTACTTTTAAATTCACAATGTAACCCAATGTGACAAAGCATACCTTTTTTAAGAAACACACGCACACGGACACAACTTTGATCTTGGAGTTAAGCACCTTAAATAACTAAAGCATGAATACAAATGAGCAGAATTTTGTAGTCCATCATCAACTGTATCTTTTTATGCACAAAAGGTAAAAACACTAAAGTTGTATCCTCCGCCATAGCTCCTCTGGCAGGCCTCCTTTCTCCTCAGCCTTCACTCTTCTGGGTTCATTTTAAGTACGGAGACATCCTTCAACACGGCGTACTAAGACTGATTTCTGGGTCACAGACAGGAAGATGGAGGAGAAAGGAGACATGCAGGCACAAAATAGCTAAAAGGAGAAAAGCCGCTAGACCGTGGTGCAACGTTTTACATGTAAATCTATTGTAGTTGTATAATATAGGACAGACCTGCCATTGTTGCTATTTCTTAAATTAAACAGATTTCACAATTTGGACAGAAGTCAGGATTTAATTTAACCTACAGGCAGTTTATCAGAATCAGACAGACAATACGCTAACTAAGAATAGTACAATATATACATATATATATATATATACAAAGCCACTCATTAATAAATAGCTGGAAAAGAAACATGTGTAGTTGTAGCAGTAATCAGT